TTTCTCTCATTTGTAGTCAATAATACCTTAAAAAATATTTGAATGATTGTTTTGAATTTTGTGATAATTTGGCCCTTCATTTTTCCCTCTCAAATTTTGTTATGTAATAATAATAATAATAATAAAATTTAAAAAAGTAAAGCAAGACTCAATTCAATGATATGATAAGTGCTATATAAGTAAGTATAAAAAAAATAATTGTAAAATTTATTAATTTATAAAACATTACTCCTTTGCTTATCATTTTACTCTAACGCATTTTTTTTTACATTTAACTGTTCAACTTTTTATATTATTCTTCCACTTATCATTGGTCCAAACCAAGAAAAAGAAAAGGAAAAGGAAAGTTATCAATGGTACATGTCGGAAAGTTTGCTTCCCCCATGTAATTTTATACCCCAAAGTGGACAAAAGTTTAGCCAGCTGGATCCAAAAATGGGATTTGTATCTTCAGAGGTACTTGCTTCCAAACAAGCCCTTAAGGCTCCGTTTGTTTTAATAGATATAATGAAGAGGATTAATAGTAAAGGGATTGATAGTGAGGAGATTAAGTAAACTTGTGTTTGTTTTGATGATAGTTGCTAGTGTAGAAATTGTTAAATTATTTTTATATAAAATAATAAAACAAATAAAAAAATATAAAAAATTAAACATTAATATTAAAAAAAAAAATACTAATATATAAAAAATAAAAAAATTTCTAATCCCCTCACTATTTTTCTAATACCATCTCCACCTCCACTTCCTCCATCTCAATTCCCCTTCCAACCTCCATTTATAGCACCTCCTCCATCCTAATCCTCTCCCCAACTCTACAAACAAATACAATACTAAATAACCCCACCTCCATTCTAATCCCCTCCCATCTATTTAATCCCAAACCAAACGGGCCTAAATGTTATTTAGTTCAAAGCATCCTAAACAAAATATTAATAAGAATGTACATGTTTGACCATCTCGATCTCAACATCTCTTTTTATAAATTAAAAAAACAGTGAAATTATATACATTTAGATAAATTTCAGCAATATTCATTTTTTTTTTTTAAACAATCCGTGTCCACTCACAAAAAAATAAATGTGTTCACATACTTTGTGATTATGTGAACGGAAACACAATTTTATTGATCTAAAACTGCAAATCTCGCATTCAAAAAATTTATTAACACCACTTAAAATTGTAAATTTATTGATTTATCCTTTTGTTTTGTTTACATACTTCGATAGTGTGTAAACAAATCAAACTCCACTTATGAACACAAAAGAAGGGCACAAAATCCACATGAATTAAAAGATGGACATCACACTTTGTCTTCTTCTTAAGTTACCCAATGCCAATGTCATCTAAACCAAATGAACAACTATGTTAATATTGTTTGGAAATCATAATTTTTTGACAAAAAAATCACTATAAATTGTCATATTACTCTATCTCTTTTTTTGTAAAAAATTAAAAAGTTAACTAAAATAATCAATTCCAAATGAAAAATATATTTTTCTCCTTCTCCTTCTCCTTCTCCTTTTTATTCTTCACCAAACTATCATTATCTGATTAATCATCCCTTAATCGAAAGACAAAACTCCACTATTTTTTACTTATTCCATCTACACATGTAACTCACCTTAGGTAAGTAGTATTTGCCTCACTTTTGGCACTTTCGGTTGAGGATCACTTGTCCTCTTCTCTTAGGTCTCCCTGTCTCAAATTCCATCTTCACTATACAACAAGGCAAAAGAAACTCAAGACAGAAACATAAAATTGTCGTCCAAACAGGTTGTAATGAATTGAGATGCATCAATCAAGGTGATCGTATTTTGTTTGCATAAAAAACAAGTATTGTAAGTGGGGGTGGCATAGGCTAGCGGTAAGCCAGGCCCCTACCACACAACCACCGCTTACTGCCAGCCATATATGTCTAAGGAAGGGCCCAAATTGCTAATGGCAGGGACAAAGAATAAGCACAGAATCAAAAAGTGAGCAAAGACACCTCTGTGCCTCTAATTTAATCTAATCTTACAGTGTTAGGAAAATGACTAAATAACTACCAAAAATAATTGCAGAGACAATAAAAGAGAGCTGTGTGGTGTGGAGGGCTCACTCCAATTGATTATATCTTCCTGTTATTTTGTGATGGTAGTGAACTGGGATGATTCAAGATGCTTCACAGGGCTCGCACCAACTAAGAATATAGGAGTCCCCAACCATACTCTGCTTTTTGTCATCAATACAGTACATATTACATTTTAGAGTACCGTTAACCATTGCTATAAATATTCTATAAAAAATAAAACACTTCAACAAAAAAATAATAATAATAATAGTAATATTAAATGTCTACCAATTTTTTTTCCAGTGTTTCTTTCCTATGATTGATACCCACAATGGATCTGAATTCATATCTGACCAATAACCAATCTTTATTTGTACCACCAACCAAACAATTAACCTATTATGATCTGTGAGAAGTCCTTGTCATTAACCAGAATAAGTCCTTTCCAACAATTTTCAGCCAGAAAAATCATAGAGACTGTGACATTTAAAAACCATCAAAGAAGCAAGTAGTAGGTCTCCACAAGAAAGATTGACTATGCCAAAGCAACATAAAGGGAATCACGTCCAGCCAAAATGGACCTTCATAGTGGAGCCATGATACAATAATTGAGAAATCATGATGAGAGAGCTTCTGGGTAAGAAAAACACAGGTAACACTTTAAAGTAGGTTTTTCTATTTACATTCAACTGAACTCCTAGGACCTGAGACGGGAACTAGAGCGTGAATGGAAAACATAAAAAATAATGAACTAGAATCAAAGGTGAGTGAAGTTTTGACACAACAAAATGTCAAAAAAGGGCCATAATACTCACAGAAATGTGAGGCTACATGATTAATTCGGAGAAAAATAAGCCTACATTTTATTGAATGTCAAATTGTTAAAAGAAAATTACACTAGAAATATCTTAAAATCTTATTATCTATACAAGTTTACTCCTTTCGTACCATATTTTATAACATATGGAGTATCACGTTCATGTTCACTTTCCCATGCTAAGTGCCGGAACGATCCATGTTCCGGATAACATTGACCTAAACACAGAGCAAGCATAAGGTAAAAATTATTTTGATCATCAACCAACCGGGAACAAACAACAATAACTATTTAGAGTTTATAAGGTTATAGGCTTATAGCCTATGGGGCCATAGACTTAAACTTTACGGCTAGGTTTAACAGATCACTTTGCATTAGAAATTTCAATTAATTTCATTCTACATTTTCTTTCTATTTAGAGTTTGTAGAGTTATAGGCCATTGACTTGAACTTTACAGCTAGGTTTAACAGATCACTATTAAATTTTCCCAGGGTTCAGTGATATATTTATAGAGTTAACAACACCCGCACACCGTAAAAATATTATAAAATCAGTAAATAAAACAACACCAGTGATTTTCCGAGCAATGAGCAAACATTAACAACACAAATCTTGAGAATCGAATACATGAAGTTTATTAGGTCCTCTAAAACTCAAGTAGTTTCATCGGATTAAGGCATTAAGTTTTTAAAATTTTGATTAAAAAAAATGAAAAAGAAAAAGAGAGGTGAGTTTTTGCATTCATACTATGTGATGTTTCGAAAGAAAGAAACCATTGGACCGTCTCAAATTAGAAATAATTTTTTGTTTGCAAGACCAATGCTTCACACTTCAGTGAGACGGGAAGCCTAACCACTTTCCCTAAAACAAGAATAACTAGGGATTAAGAATGTAAGATTAGTACAGAAATTCCAAGAGAACTACTAGTACACACTAACTCAAGTCACATTGTTTTGTCTTCCGGATTCTTCAATAAATTTCAACATCATATACCAACTTAACATTGTAAACCAACCTCCAGCCTGCCAAAAAATTGATTCAATGTCGAAGCATAAAACCACATGTGCCATGATTCGAAAAATAAATTTAAACATTCATACGCTTCCCAATTCCTGTATATTCCTCCAGATATTGATTCTAAATCTTGTAGAACAAAATCTTAGCTTAATGAAGTTGAAACCCTTCCCAGAATAGTTATGCCACATCACCTTTGATTTAGAGCAGAAACAGATTTAACGCATGCAGCAGCTTAATAGGTACAGGGACATCTAGAAAGCACAACCTAATACAACACTAGAAATGAAAAGAAGGTACTATGCTAAAAGGGTGAAATCAACAACTTACTTGTTCGGCTAAATTAAATTTGGTAAATATCATATCACTAGACTCCTCTGCCCCCACATTTGCAAATAAATGAGAAGCATGCTTCCTTTCCACTTCCTATATAGCATAACGCGTCTATAAAATATCAATTATTTCATTCAAATGATGGTTCTATAACCCGGAAAATAGGTGTCCATTGTGATATAGGCCTGATAACCAAATTGATCCAAAGAGACATGTTTAATTTCCCATTAACCATTACCCCATAAATAATCATTGATACGTTTTCATCTGCGTGTAGCATAAAAAACAAACTCTCTCAACCATATGCCTAATATGACATTACCACCAGTCTCCAATGAGAAGCCAACAATTCCACTTTGCCCAAACATAGTATCAACAGCAATTAACATGTCAAATCCAGAGGTTCGATCTCTACATGTACACCTCCAACTTTCTGTATCAATCTCAGAAAATCTATCAAAAATAATAGCTTTAGATAAAACAGACCCCCCCCCCCCCCTAAACTAGGGGCAAAAATGTCAGATATGCTCCCCCCCCCCCCCCCCCCCCCCCCCCCCCAAAAAAAAATATATATATATATATATATCAATCAAAATAGATAACAAACCCCTCAAAGATGCTCATATAATCTAAATAAATCAATGTGATTCTAAGAATTGTTACAACAACAAAAAAAAAAAATGCCTTTCGCAATCAAGTTCTAATTATTCTCAAATAGTAGCCAAAATTATACCCACTGAATGCCTTTGGCAAGTTAATTATAACAATTCTCACCAAACGAAGCTCTAAGTGCGTTTCCTGAGACGCTTCCTCAGCTTTTTGTACTTGTGCTTGTTCATCTTCCTCTTCCTCTTCTTCTTCACACTATCGGCCCAGATCGTCGTAGCATCATCGTAAACGACATCGCCACCGTCGGATGGCACGAACCCAGTTGAAATTATAGGGTTTAAAGAAAACCCAATTGGGAAACTTGGAAAGATCGGGGTCGAATGAGGAGGATTCGAATCCCCTGTTTTCGATGGATCGACATTGCAGGGATGGTGTGGTCTGGTTTCTCCGAGATGGGGTTCGTGGTGAAGATGAGTCAAGAGCGTTGGAATGAGATTTTGTAGTTGAGGTTTGTTAAAAGTATAGATGATTGTATTGGGAGATTGGTTTCTGAGTAGTTTTTGGAGAAGCGAAGCCATTGAAGATAAAAAAAAACGCTTCACTTCAAGAACACAAAATCTGAGATTTATCAATTAGGGTTTTTCCGCAATCAAAAAAATAAATAAAGGGAAGATTACTTGTCAGTGAAACTTTATTATAAAATGATGAAAAAATTTATAATATTACATATTAATATTTATAAAAAAAATATCATTAATTTAAAATATTTTTTACTTAAAATAAAATTGATTAAGATTTTGTTTTTTTTGGTTCCATTTTCCATCGAATTGATTTTTATAATTTTTAATCCAATAAAAAAAGTTATACAAATTTCCCTTTGTCCCGTAATTGTTTTTCTTATTACTTTATTTGAATCTTATTTAAAAATAACGACATACATTTTTTATATATTTTTTTTATTTGAAAAGTATGCTAAACATTTCATCTAATTTAATTGCAAAAAACATATGTCAAATATAAGAGGTGTTATGTGTTTATTTTAAAATTTTAAGAAAGTCAATCACAAATGAAATAAAATATCGAAGTTAAGGTGCATTTTGACTTCCAAATAAAAGAAGAAAATATGTGTAGTTTAGACAAGTAGGTTGCTTATACATAGGAATATTTTATTATTTTTTATTAAATTATTAACAGTTCTAACAGTGTATTTTAATTTATAAATTACAAAGTGGCTATGCAATTATTTCTTAATGAGATGAAAGTAATCTGTACATAAAATTACAAGAAATAAAATGAAATTTTTCTTTAAAAAAAATAGGGTGAATCACCAATAAATTTCAAATAGTAATGTTATAAACTAATTGGTCATCCATTTTTTCCTTATGGACTTAAAGGTCTCATTCTAATATGAATCACATAAAATACCAAATAAAAATGCGCGTGTGTTATGTGTTAAGAGACAAATGTAGGTATTATCGTAATATTGAAATTATTAAACATAACACTTAAAAAAAAATTCTTAGTGTATTTTTTTCTAAACATAACACTCTCTTGTAACATTCCGAAAACGTAACACTCTAATATAAACGTAACAACGTAGTAATAACGTAATATTCCATAAAACCTTTTTCATGTATTTTTTCTAAACATAACACTCCAATCAATGTAACACTAAAAAATTTCTTATTATAATTTTCCTAAACATAATAATACTCCAATGTATGTCAGGTTGTTTATGATGATCTAACCAAAAAAGTCAAAAAGTCACTATCTTATTTAGGTCACATCACCTCCCTATCACATCACTTCAAATCGAACCTATATTTCATAAAAAGTCAAAAAGTGCACTTATTTAGAACATCCCAAACAATCCTTTAAGTATACTTTTTGACTTTTTATCAAAAGATGTGCAAAAATATAGAGAGTTTGTATGACCCAAATAAGCACTTATTTAGTTTATGCCAAATAGTACTTTTCTCAAATGTAACAACATAACATTCTAAAAATAAATAAATAAATAAAAATTAGTGTACTTTTTTCTGACCGTAACCCTTCAATCAATGTAACACACTAAAAAAAAAATTTAATGTATTTTTCTCAAATATAACAAGTAACATTTCAAAAATATTTGGGTAAATTACACTAATAGTTCTTATAGTTTGGGGTTTGTGTTACTTTGGTCCCTGACTTTTCAATTGTGACACATTTGACCATGAATTTTAAATCTTGTTCCAAATAAGGACAATTGAAGATATCATTAAATTTTTCAAGAGCAAAATCGTCAATTTGATAAATATAAACTAATTTGACAAAAATAAATGTCAAACAAATATTTTTTAATTTTTAAAAATTATTTCTACCTATTAAAAATAAAATTATGTAAAATTGATAAATCTTTTAGACATTTATTTATTTTTTTTACCAAATTAATTTTTATTATGTGTTTGGATGATGATCATGTAAAATTAATTTTTAAAAATTAATCATGTAATTTTTATTAATTTTTATCAATTTTAAATAATTTTATCATTGGTGGATAACAATAATTTTTAAAAAATTTAAAATATTTTTTTGACATTTATTTTTGTCAAATTAGTTTATATTTTATTAAATTGATGATTTTGCCCTTAAAATTAAACAGTGGCATCTTCAATTTTCTTTATTTGGAACATGATTTAAAATTCATGGTCAAATGTGTCACAATTGAAAAGTCATGGACCAAAGTGACACGAGTCCCAAACTATAGAGACTGTTAGTATAATTTGCCCAAAATATTTTTTTGTGTATTTTTTTTTTTCAAACGTAATGCTTCAATCAATGCAATATATAGTGTAATTTTTTCAAACATAGCACTCAAATGTAATATAAAAAACCACAATAACAAAAATATAGATTTCGACGTTCGACAACCAATATTTCAACCACCAATCCCTCCAAAAATAATCTTCTACACCCTACCTTTCCATTCCCATAAAAAAATGAATTACAAAAGGACATTTACTTAAACTCAAATGACACTAAATTAAATAAATATAATTTTTTAAAATAAAAAGGACTAATTGGTTCATAAGAAACTCTTAGAATTAAATATATCAACATCCTCCCATATGGAATTTATGGATAAATTTTTCAAAAAAATAAAGTGAAATTTGTCCTCCCAAAAAATAAAAGATAGAAAATTAAAATTAAAAGAGTATTATTTGCCCCCATGCAGGATCGAACTACAGACCTTCAGTTTACAAGACTGACGCTCTACCACTGAGCTATAGGGGCTTTGCTGACAAATTTTTTTTTTCTGTTAATATATAAAGTAAAATTTAATTGTAATCAAAATATGGAAAAAAAACTATTTAACAAACTGTTTCCAAATTTAACTTTTGGGAAGGTATGTAAACCCTATTATTTAAGAAATACTTTTGAAATTTATGAATTTTGAAAAACTTCTAAAAGTGATGGGTGGTGTTGTGTTATTTTTTAAAATACAAAATCCATTTTTTAAAAAAAAAAAATGATACCAAATAGTTTTGATTTTACTTGATGAAAGGCACATCTCATTACTTTACTAGCATACTTGTACGAGTAAGAAATAATCTTCTCGTATAATTCTGTTGATCAAGTACGTGCTCTTCCAAACGTCATCGCTTTACTCCCTGAAAACACAAACGTAAGCTGGCCGGCGGGTGTGTGCCGAATACCTCTCCGATGCCTAAGTTAGCAAAATAGACAAATAGACAAAAGCTCTGCGTATTCGAGAATCAAAGTTGTGTTACCTCTCCATAGGTGATGTTATGAGTTTTTATAGGTTCTGCGTGGCATAATCCAAGTAGGACTCTTACTCCTTTATGTAGAGTTATCACGACCTAAACCCGCCCTTTAGTACCGTAACCGGCCAGTAATCCGAGATTACCGAAGACCTGCTTAACAGTAATACAGTAATACAGAGTACAGGGGCTGGCGGAAGCCAATACAATAATTAAAATATGTCCAATGAGCTATGACAGTCTGTATGCAAAAAAGACTTTTCATATCATATACACATATACGAGCAGTACCAAAACAGTATGTACAATATATACAATCATTCAGGACAGGGACTTAATCCATATTTAAAACAGTACAGTACAAAAACATTCACTCTATACAGAACATAACCAAGAAGGGGGAAAATTAAAACACCCCAATAGCCCTAACTTGACAGGCTCGGAACCTCGCAGTGAGGCACAGTGGTTGGCTTTGACAAAAGGGAATCTAACCCACGCTCCTAGCTCCGGTCTGGTGCCTGAACACCTACATATATATATATATAAGCAGTGAGCTAAAGCCCAGTGAATAACATAATGCGTAAAAAGGTTAAGAATGAATGTCCTTTCAGTATAGAAAACAGTCAATTGATTCAGTGTATCAGTCATTCAGTCATAACAATCATATGTGGTACATCTAATAACAGAACAGTACAGTAAACAGTAGGTCTTAAAAGACCGAACAGTCAATGATGGCCATCATAACAGTAAGCAGAAGTTCCAAAATAGGAACTGACAAAGATCTCTATAACGGTAGCAGTAACAGTAACAGTAACAGTAGTTGCTAAGGATGCCACAATACAGTTCAGAATAGAGGACAAACATTCATTCAGTTAACAGTAAACAGTTCAGAAAACAGTTTAGTTGATCATTCAGAAAATATTCATTTTCAAACATATCTTTACAACATTGTTACTCACAGAGTTCTGGGCTACAGATAAGCTAGTACGCATCTCCGGATGCCAACCCTACACAGTTGCAGAATGAACACATACTAAGCTACATAGTTGGGAAAATAATAACTTAATCCCTAGTTTGCCTCAGTGTGGTTCTACATCAATATCCTGATTAAGATGCCTTAAACTAAGCCTAAGAATGCCTAGAATGGAATGAGGATGCAAGGATGTACTTTCAAAACATGTAACAAATTTTCAGAAAAACAGGGGTCTCGCTCGAGCGTGGGTTTTCCCCGCTCGAGCAGACATACAAACAAAATTCGCCACTCGAGCGTAAACCTTCCTGCTCGAGCGGTATGCAAAACGTGACAAGAGTACTGGATGGGTGAAAATCACGCTCGATGGGTGCTCAACACCCGCTCGAGCGTGTGACACAAGTCCTCGCTCGAGCGTCCAATACCCCGCTCGAGCGGACTGTTAAACAGTGTAAAGTGTTGGAAACACGATTTTCCTGCTCGAGCGCCAGTAACCCCGCTCGAGCGGAAGTTCAAATTCTAGAATTTCCAAATTCGAACCTCAAGCTCAAAACGAAGTTTCAATGTACCAAATTCGATCATTTTGGGCTAATTTTCTGGAAAAACACTTCAAAACTCACAATATAACATGTTTCAAAAATTAATTTGAGAAATCAAAGCCCAAAGGTAGTTCAATTAAATCCAATTTCAAACCAATTTTCATGAACATAACTCACACATGACATGCATGAGTTTAAACCAATTCAAAGCTTCAATTACTTGCTCAAATGAGCCTCAACTTCCAAAAACAAGATAAAAACATGGACTATAACAATAATATGAACATGCATGTACCAAATTCCATGTA